TCTATTCCACCTCATAAAAATTTTTGTATCCATCCCCTCCATGCCAGCTTTACTTCTTCCGCCTTAGATCAGACCCTCACCAGCTCTCACTTGGCTTATTTTGCTATCTTCCTATCTGATCATCATTTTATTGTGTGCTGAACCCTTCAATGGCTTCCATTTCAATTTCTTTTGCTTGGCTTACAAGGTCCCCCATGTTTTAGCCAATGCTAACCTTTCCAACATTATCTCTACCACACCTTCAAATGCAATCTCTGCTTAAGCTCAACTTGAACTGTAAGCTCCTTGAGGGCAGGGTCCATGTCTTATTCATCTTTGGTCCTACATCACCTGTTATGTTGTTTACAATACCAATGATGTTAAATCAACATTTGTTTGAATGAATGGGTTAATGAGTGAATAAATACTTAAGGATCTGGATTTTAGTAGACCTGTTCTGAGTGTAAGAAGTGCTGAAAGGATTCTAGAACCTCAGAAATTTGGGAATGGGAGGGGATATTGAGGACTGTGGCCTTGCAGAGACCCACTCACCAGGGGTGAACTGAGGTTCTAGGAAAATTACCTGGCTATGTAAGCTAGATCAAGCCCTGGCAGCCTGAGGAGCTCTAAACTCTTGGAGAAAGCCACAGCCTTCAGGCTTTTTGCAAGGCCAGCTTCTTCCCTTCATTCAGATTTGGGCTCAAATGTAACCTCCTAGCACCCATGACGTGACCCTGTTTATTTTTTTCAAGAAAAATTTTACTTCTCTTCCTTGAATTTTTGACTATTGATGTATTTTCCATCTTTCCCGATAGTACATAAACTACATGAGAGCACATTTAAAAAAAATGTACTGTGGTGTCGTTAGCTCCTAAAACAGTGTCTGGTACTGTTCAATTTGTTAAATAATTGAATCAATGAATTCTCAGGGCTGGTATCCTCTCAGATAAGAGAGAGGGGCAAATGGGGCAATCCAGCTGGTGGCTGAAAACTTGGGATGGGTAGCAAGAGAACGTTACTCAAGGGAATTAGTCAATGTATACTTGATCCTAGGCTCAGGGAAGACGGCTGGCAGTAAATAAGTCAAATATCTACCAGTTCTAGAGTTTGGAGAGGGGTGAGAATTGGAATTCTATGAAGAGAAAGCAGTAAGGACTCCAGTGGGTAAACAACAATGCAGAGATAGGGCATGCTCTGGGGGTACCATATCCTGGGTTAAGTTGTTTTTGAAGACCTATTATGTGCAAGTCACCTGGTTGCTTCCAGGAGCCATCCTTATTAATCCAATCCAACTCTACAAAATAGTTTCATCGACTCCATTTTACAGATGAAGTAACAAGGTCCCGGCGGAAGTAAAGAACCTCCCAAAGGTTGCACAAGTAATGGAGAAGCCAGGGATTAAACCCAGATGACTCCCTAATCCATGCATTTTCCCTTTCCACCACAGTAGTTTTCTATAAAGCAGTGATTCCTACTCTTTTTCTTCAGTGATGTGTATGAAAGACGATCACACAAGTGACACACTTCTATACGAATAGGAACAATTTTGAGGTGTCATCTGTAACTCTCCCTCTTTCCTTCCCATTCAAGAAGGCATACCAGAATGTGAGTGTGGTGTTATCATGGGGAAAAACTGAAATTTGGGTTAAAAATCAAAGGATTATTAGATTTCTAACCTGCAATAAAAACCGGTTGTGAGACACCAGGGTTGGGAGGGACCAAGGCTGGAAATGGGATATTTAATTTGTTTGTTCAAATATTCTTGGGTTATCATACTTGGTATTGAGGTAAATTTTCAGAAGGAGCTTGGAAAATGCACTTTGCTGTCATTAAAATCTATTCAAAAAGGCACAATGAAGAGGAAAATTTATCTGAATTTGGAACTCAGCCTGATAAAGCTATTGCCTTGGATCAATAAGTGGGAAATTAGCTGGACCGAATTCACAGTTTGGAAGATCAGTGGGGTAAAGATCTCTTTTGATAAATTGGAATGAACCACGCACTTAGAACAAAAGTCAGGATTAGTTTTGATGTAAAAATGTGAAAACAGACTCATATTGACTCTCTGCATTAGAACTACTCTGGCTTACAGGAATTGACTTCTGAGTTCTGTATACAAAATTGTAGGGATTTGTTGATTTCAGAGACAATAAAAACAAGAATGTGATGGTCATTTTATTAGGTTCCTAGGACTGCCATAACAAATTCTCACAAACAAGGTGACTTTAAATGACGGTAATTTATTCTCTCATAGTTCTGGAGGCCAGAGGTCCCAAATCAAAGCTGTCAGCAGAGCTGTGCTCCCTCCAAAGGCTCTAGGGGAGAAATCTCCTTTGCATCTTCCAGCTTCTTGTGGCTCAGATATTCCTTGGCTTCTGGCCGCCTATCTCCAGTCTCTGCCTCCGTCTTTATGTGGTATTCACCTCTGTGTCTGTGTCTTTTCATTTTCTCCCTGTTTCTTATAAGAACATTTATTGTTGGATATAGGACCCACTTGAGTAACCTAGGATGATCCCATCTCAAGATCCTTGACTTAATTACAACTGCAAAAGCCTTTTTCCTAAAGAAGTTTACATTCACAGGTTCCTGGGGTTAGGAAGCGGACAAATCTTTTGTGGGGCCGTCATTCAACTCACTGTGGTCATATGTTACCATGTAGAGGACATAGAATGCAAGTGAAAGTGGGAAACTACTCACAAGACAGAATTATAAGACAGAATTGCATAGGAAATGTTGACTTTTTTGTAATGCTGAGTAAAGCAGAGGGTAGGTGTCATAAACAGGCATCAAGACAAATCCGGTGTCTGTAGACATCTGGAAGTAGAGTTCCATCAGGAAGGAGATAATGAAACATCTCCTGGAGGCCTTCTTGAAAGGCTTGGGGGAAATGTGAGAAAGACTTGACTTCTGGGGAAAGAGCAGGTGAATGAAATGTTGACTCTAGCAGACGTTGTTGGCTCCTAACCTAAAATACCCTCCCTCCCGTGCCCGACTTCACTGCAGTGGCTGGAAAAGCCTATGCTAGCTTTCCCAGTCATCTGTGTCACAGGGGTCACCATGTGACTCAGTTCTGGCCAGTGACACAGGCTCGGAGTTGCCAACTTGTTATGTGAGAAACAGAAATCTTTACTTGTTTAAGCCAGTGTTTGTCCGATGTTTTGGTACTTGTAGCTGAAAACACTCTCTATCAATAGAGTTGCTTTGCCAGAAGACTTCAGTCCTTTTTCCTGAACAAGAGAAGTCCCCACTATTTTACAGTCTGCAGGCTTAGATGGTGAAAATCCAAAGGATGAAAGGGCTCCTTCTGACTTAGAATGACTGTAAGCTTACTGTGGGGTTTGGCACCTGGATTTGCCGCCCTCTTGTAGCCCTTTCCATCTCCAAGGTGCTGGCCAATTTCTCACTACAGGTGGTCTCGGGTAGCCTACTCATAATTAAGGGCAGACTGGCCATACTGAAGCTGGCAGGGGAAGCTTTGCCAGAGAGCTCCGCTTATGGGAGCTGCTTTCATTATCCAACTAGTATTTTAGGTAACCAGTAGTTTAAAGAAGGTGACCAAGACAGAAGTTTGCACCTGGGAAGAACAGCTGGATTCACCGTGGTCTGAGAATGACCCTCAAATTTTGAGATTATACCCATCTCTCAGGGCACAATCACATTGACTCAATTTTCATATGATCACATCAGTCTTTTCCAGTAAGTCCTCTGCCTTCCATTTATTGGGTTCACATGTGTGAGTTTATACATATATGTGCTTTTAATTAAATGAGTAATACATGACTATCTTTCTCATTCATCCACTCATGGGCATTTGGGCTATTTTCACCTTTTGGCAGTTATGAATAATGCCGCTGTAAATATTCGTGTAAAGTTTTCTGTGTGGATAGATGTTTTTATTTGTCTTGAGTAAATAGCTAGGAGTAGAATTGCTGGGTTATATGTTAACTCAGTTTTAAATCATTTCAGGAACTGCTAGACTGATTTCCAACGCAAATTGACCACTTTACTTTCCACCAGAAGGGTATGAGGGTTCCACTTTCTCCACATCCCCACCAACACTTATTATCTGACTTTTTGATTCTATTCATCCTAGTGGATGTGAAGTGGTATCTCATTGTGGTTTTGATTTACATTTCCCCAGTAAGCAATGATGTCAAGTATCTTTTCATGTGCTTGTTGGCCATTTGTCTATCTTCTTTGGAGAAATGTCTGTTCAGATCCTTTGCCCATTTTTTACCAAATTTTTTATTTTGCCAAATTTTTAAAGAAATTTAAACCTAAGAGCGCTCTCAAGAACAGCAGAGGTTGTGGTGAAGGGAATTGATAAGAGATGCACGAATCTAATGAAGGCACGTCCCAGACTGTAGGGAGGCTGGTTTGTGGGAGAGAACTAGAGAATAAGACAGCTTGGAGGAGCCCCCTGGAGTCAGAACAAATATAGATTATTTGAAAATTAAAATGAAAATAAACAGAATAAATATTTCGATACATCTTTATATGATCAATTTCTTAGCTACCTCTCACTTTACTACCTAATATCCTTTTACTGATATTTTCCTGAAGAAGGTATTTTTTAATGTGACTTTAATTTTAATTTTTTTATTATCTTAAACATTGATAAATTTTGACAACCACAGCTTCTTTTTCAACTAGTATAATATCACATATTGTTTGGACTCAATTTTGAAATGATGCATGCACCAAAGCTATTTTCAAGTATGTTTCTGTTCTTAGATTTCTTAATTTAGTAAAAGCATTATTTTTACCCTGGTACTGTGCTCCAGTGTAATTCATTTTCCATATAATCACTGTAAGCTAAACTGTTTTATGTTAAATATTTATCTTTTAAGTTTAATATAAAATAGAATTTACATAATGGCAGATATTTCATTTTTGACAGAAGGAACTTACAAAAGATGCACTTCGCTGCTTTGTTATGCAGATCATTATATTATTTATAAGAATCAGATTTGTGCCGCTTCTTTTTCTTTCTTGACTGGTCTTCTTGCATTGTTAGGGATCTTCTGAGCAATGTTGAATACCTGCAGTAACAGACGACATCCTCGCCTCGTTTCTGACTTCAGTGGGAACGCGTCTGATATTTCACCTTCAAAATCATACTTACTTTTGTTTTCAAGAATATATCCCTTGGTAAGTAAAAGAAATTCCCATTGATTCTGAGTTAAGGTTTACTTGAAGTCAGGAGTGAATATTGAATTTTATCAAATGTTAAAGCTGTACTATGACATTAATCATTATATTAATGCCTTTTAAAAATGCAAACTAGCTTTCTCTTTCTGAGTGTACCCAGATGAATCCCCTACAGTTTTGCATAAATACTCAGTTTCCATAAACACATGGAACAAAAGCTGAGCAATCTTTGGTAAATTGTTGCTGAGATGGGAGCAGAAGGAACACCTATGTTCTTTGATCCACCCTCAAGGGTGTGAGGAAACAGAAACTCTTGTACATTCCCGTGGGAGTGTCATCTTGCATAATTTTGACGGATGACAATAAGGAAATAGTCTGTCAAAATGATGAATACAATTACCCATTGACTGAGCAAATTCTGTTTTATTAATTTATTCTGTAGCCATATTCTCATGTGCCTAATGTGACACACACAAGATTATTCACTTTAGTGTAATTAGTGATAACAAAAGGTCAGAAAACAAGTTAAATATCCATCAGTATGTGTCCAGTTAAATAAATTACGGTAACATTCATACAATGGAGTAAAGTACAATCCTAAGAAGAATGAGGAAACTCTTCATTTACTCAAGTGGAAAAATTGCCACGATATGTTGTGAAACCCAAATGGCTGTTTTAGTATGTGTAGTATGCTAGCATCTGTGAATTAAAAAGGGATGGGAGAATGAAGATATGTTTGTTCTACCTTCAAAATATATTTCAGCTTATTCTTACCAACCTCATTGCCACCACCCTCGTCCAACCTACCCTTATCTCTCACAGGGGTGACTGAGATTGGCTCCAAATGGTTCGCTGCTTCTGTCCTTGCTCCTTGGCTGTTTGTTGTCAACATAGTCAAGGTCCCTCTTTAAAAAGATGAGTCAGATTATGTGCCTCTTGTGCCCTTCAAAGACTTGCCATCTCCTTCAGAGTTAAAGCCTGAGTCCTTAGGCTGACCTACAGAACCACGCCCCCTCTGCCTTGCTCTCATTTGCTCTGTGCCAGCCATGCTAGTCTTCATGGGATCCTTCCTGCAGGCCGGGCGCGTTCTCTGTTCCAGGCTTTTCTGCCTGTTGTTCCCCTCCTGGATGGCTCTTCCCAGGATGCCCACATAGTTGGCTCCCCCAGTTCCTTCAAGTCTTGACTCAAAAGCCATTTTCTCAGGGACGTCTACCTTGACCCCCATTTCTAATATTTCAAACTGCTCTCATACCACTATGTCACATCAATCTTTTCTGCTTTATTTTTCCTTTGTAATACTTGTTATTATTCTTTTCTTACATGTTTATCTTTTTTTCCCTGTCTACCCAAGTAGAATGAAAACTCTATAAAAGCAAAATCATTTTGAGGAGACCTCTTTGTTTATCACTGAATCCTCAGTGCCTCACTTATGGCAGGTTCTCAACAAATGTTTTTCTAATGACTAACTCAATGAGTGAATGAATTTAAAATATTTCTGGAAGATTACTTCAGAAATTGATAACAGTTGGCTTCGGGAAGGAAACCGGGTGGCCACGGTTAGGTGGAAGACTTCTTATGGTACTTTTTTGTAATATATTACAAAATTGAAATATTTTTACCTATTAAAATATACATGAATTAATCCAAAATTTTAAAAATATTCCCTTAGTTGGTAATCACCATTGCTCAAGCAGCCAGCCGAATTGGTTTACGAAATCTTTTGTTTTGCCAGTCCAATTATGAATAATGTTCTCTGATTCTAGTTTTAGTTTACATTTCTATTATGAGTGTGGTTAAGAATATATGAATATATTTCAGAGTCATAGGTATATTCTCTGAGCTGTGTGTACATACTTTACCCATTTTTCTATTAGCTTGTTGCCTTTCCTTATTGATTTGGAGGAAATCTTAAACATTAGTGACAGGAGTTACAAATGTGTTTTCCCAGTTATTGTTTGTCTTTTGACTTTGCCTATAGCAGTTTTTTTAACGTATAAATTCATGATTATATGTAGTTCAATTTATCATTTTTTCTGAAAATAGTTAATTTTTTTTCCTGGAGCAGTTTAAATAAAATTGTAGTTATCTCTTCTTTAAAGATTTGGAAGCTTTCTGCCATGATGCTGTGTTTGGGTGTTTTGTGGGGTAGAGCTATGGCAACTATCTCTGTTTCTTCTACTGTAATTGATGTGTTTAGATTTTTTATATCTGCTGGTGTCAATTTTGATAAATCACATTTTCCTAGGAAAGTATTTATTTTATTCAGGTTTTCAAGTTTATTTCCAAAGTCAGGAGAAGTAGTTACTTGTCATTCTTTTAATTTCTCTCTGTATTTGTGGTTATTTCCTGTTTTGTTATGTGAGCTTACTTCTTAATTTTAAGTAAGATGAAAGTTAATTTTTATTTTATTTTTCAAAGAACGAGATTTTGGAGTTATTTGTTAATTCTTCCTTTTTTCTGTTTTCTAATTTGCTATTTTCTTTTTTTAATCTTAATTTGTTTCTTTTTATTTTATTTTTTTGTGATTATTTTTCTAATTTCTTGAGTTGAATGCCTAATTCACTCATTATCATTCTTTCATTTAAAAAATTTAAGACTATAGATTTACCTTTGAGCACTGCTTTAGCTATATTTTGTAGGGTCTAATATATAACGTTTTTATTGTTGTGGACTTCCAGAAGTTCTAAAGATTAAGTTAGGTTTCCTCTTTGACTTAAAAATTATTTAGGAGGGGTTTTAAAAGTTTCAGGTGGTAGGGCTTTTTGTTTTCAGGTTTGAAATTAAATGGCATTTTTCTTCTTTTTCATGTATAGTGATATTTTCTTATAGCTTAATAAATGGCCGAATTTTGAAAATATCACTTTCACATGAAAAGAAGTTCTATTTTTTGTTTTTATAATAGACAGAGTTTGGTATGTCTTTTTAACTCTACCTTTTTATGTTATTCTTCTCTCTTATTTGTTACTTGTCTATTTTTTCTCTTATGGACTGAAATATGTGAATTAAAACTTACCTTTCTTAATGTATGTCTATTTCTCATAATATCTCCAATAGTTCTTGGTTTATGAACATAAATGCTTTATTGTTAAGAGTTACTTGTGTTTGTTTCATTATTCACTTCAAAGGGCTTTTTTTTGTCTTCCTCTAATGCTCTTTGTATTAATTCAACTTTTTTTTTAAGATCATGACCCCTCCTTTACTTTCGTTGATGTTTGTCAGTCTATGCTAGCCAATCTTTCCGAATTATGTTTTAGTTCTATCTCATATCTGACGCATTTATTTTGTGATCCAATGCAAATGTCTTTTTCCTATTTATGGATAAATTTAGTCCATTTTTATTTAATGAGATGATATAGATTTGGTCTTAATTATGTTATATATTTTACCCTATATTTTCTGGGTTTGTAGCTTTAAAAAATTACCGTTATGTGTCTATTTCTTTTGTTTTGTGGGTGTATTTTATCAGGTGTTAGAAAGATTTGAATATTGATTCATAAACAGTATCATCCCCTTGTTACAGATGAGAATACAGAATTAAGAAATATTAGAGTGATACATATATCTAGCAAAAGATGTGTTGCCAGAATAATAAATAAATCCTACAAATCAAAAACAAAACCAAGTTACTCAATTAAAAACGGGCAAAAGACTCAAGCCAGCAATACACAAAAGAAGCTATCAAAATTGTCAAAAAGGGGATGAATGGTTGGTGCTGAGCATCATTATTCATCAAGAAAATGCAAATTAAAACCTAGGTGAGATATCACACCATGCCTCACCTGAATGGCTAAAATTAAAAAATCTTACCATACCAAGTATTGGCAAGAATTGATCGACTGGAAGTCTCATAGATGGCTATTGGGAGTGTAAACTGGTTTAGCCACTTTAGAAAATTGTTCATCCATTTGTTTTTAATTCAAGCATTTTCTTACTCTACATGATCCAGCAATTCCACTTCTGGGTACACACCCAAGAGAAATCGGTGCATGTGTTCTTAAACATATTTGAACAAAAATAAGTTCAAAGCAGCTCTATTATAATAGCCTAAACTGTCAACAATCCAAACATTCATCAATGGGAAAAGGGATAAATAAACTGTGAAGCACTTGTACAAAGAATACTATTCACTAATAAGAAAGAATGAACTACTGATATAGGCAATGACATGGATGAATCTTAGTCATTCCATTGAGTGAAAGCAGCCCAAGCACAAAAAAAATGTGTGTTATGTGATGCCAGAGAGGCATAACTAATCCATGGTGATCAGAACCAGAACGGAGGTTAAGTCTTGGGGAGGACTGATGAAAAAGGGCTCAAAGAACTTTCTGGGGGAGATGGAGATGTTTTCCATCTTGCTCTGTGCCATGGTAACATACGTATTTTACTGTTTGTTAATTATCTCAAAAACAAAAAGACAAAGAAGGAAAGCAAAGCAAGTTATCAAGTACGTCCCTAGCCTGTAGAGCAACTGGTAGACCTTGGATTCACCGTCACTTCTACTTGGCTCCAGCCCTATCCTTTCCCATCACAGCGTATATCTTCCCAGTGATCACCTCAGACTCTGTGGCTTGTCCCCTAGCACTGCTGGTAGGTGCCATATCCTCATAAATCCATCCAATCTAGCCGAACATCACTGCTTCCTGGTCCTCCAGAGGCTGAGGCTCGTGACGGATGCCATCCAACCTTGTCACTGCCTGAGGAGCTGACCTGCTTCACAGGCAAGGGGACAGAGTGGTGCATCAAGAAGTCACTGCAATGCACTTTACCTAAAATTAAGTGCTAAGGAATAATAATGGGGCTTTTATGCTACTTGCATGTTTTCCTTTCCATTAAATCTCAGATATGCTGTTTGCTTTAGTATCCTTAGTTCAGGCTGCTTTGAAATCCATAGGGGGAAAGAAACCCTTCATTAAGTTCAGCAGCACAGCGCTGCCATGCAGCAGCGTTCCTATTTGCTTTTCCTTCTGTAAATATTTGTGCTTTCTCAGGCTAAGGAGTGG